GCAATTAGGGGCAAATACATAAAAGGTTATTTTAAGGTCAGGGTTTTGCAGTACACGGTTGTACAAATAAGGTAAGAAAATCAATTAACAGCCAGTAAATCAAAGGTCAGGGATTTTTGTATGAATGAACCAAGTCAAGAAAAGATGAAGAAGGGCTTTAACTTAGGCCGAGTCACAGACAAAATCAGCAAACAATGGAAAGAAATCAATCAAGCCATATTCAGAAGGAAGTTTGAACTAATTACAAATTTGAAAACCATTTTAGAGGAAAATTCATCATATATAAGGAGCATACGAACATGTTAAGCATGAAAAATACTGTGATGTCATTGTAAAATTAGTAGAAGATCCAGTGCAACAGAGTTTAGCAAGAGCTGGAATCATATGAAGAACAAATGTTTTGAAACTCATTTTAGATATTCAAAATAGGTTCAGAGGTCTCAGAAAGAACTGAAACCTCTACCATGTTCCTCTCAGCAACTGAAACTCGTAAGAAACATGATAGAAAAGTAACATACAGAGCATAGCTGAAGAATTCAAAGAAAATAGAGTAGAAGAAGCTAACACGAAACGTAATGGAAAAGACTGATAAGATAAGTAGCAGAAACATGCTGAGAAGTTTTTAGAAGAAAATTAAACAGAACTTAGTAGAAGGAAAATAGTAAAACACTTAAGAACATAGTAGAAAAATATAGTAGGAGAAACATATCAGAACATGGTGGAAGAAAGTACCAAAACACAACAGAAAAGCATACGAGAACATAGTATAGAAAAACATAGTAGGAGATGCATACAAGAATAGAATATAGAAAATACAGTAGAACGAGCATACAAGAACATGGTAGAAGAAAAAATATAAGAACATAGTAGAGGCAGATTTACACAAAATAAAAAAGGAAGAAAGTCAGAAGAACACTTAAATATTTTTCCAGAAAACCCTAGATCGGAAAAGAAATGGTTCTGAAAGTAATTTTGAAAGAAAAGCCAGAGAAATCATTTGAAAACTTAGGGAAAACATAGATACACAATAGATCTAAAAGAATCGGAGAAAACCTCGAAGGGTTAGGGTTTCAGAAGAACCCCAGAGTGAGAAAGGCTTTGAAGAGTCACCGATCTAAGCCGGAGAGGTCAAAATCAGGCTCAAACAACCATGGTACGCCGGAGCAAAGCCGGAGATGACCATGAAACTTCGAATCAATAGAGGTCTTGCTACGACCCTTTATGGTCAGGCCTTGAATCTTCAGAAATCAGGCACGTGGGAGTCATAGGAGGCTGGTTTAGGACTCTCATAGCCTTGGAAGCCATAGATTCCGGTGGCTTTCAGGGCGGAGATGGTATAAGGCGGCTAGGGTTTGAGAAGGTTCGAGAGTGTTTGAGAGAATGGAGGGTTCAGAGGCGGCTGATAGGTGAGAAATGAGATGGTTAGGGTGGTCATTTGGATTAAAAAAAGGTAAGAGTGAATAGGGGCCGTTGATCTCAGATATCAACGGCCATGATGAGAGGGGTCTGGGTCGGGTAGGATTTAATTGGGTCAGGGGAGGGTTTAAATTAAAATTGGGTCGGGGAATTGAGATTGGGAATTAGGTTCAATTGGGGCTGATTTAAGGCTATAATCGAAATAGTTGGGGCTAGTATTTAATAGCCACTTTTTCCCTTATTTAGTTTAAAAATAGTAAAATAATTTCCGAAAACAAATTAAAAGTACTAAATCAACTAATAATATGGATATATTAAATTAAAAAATACTGGAATCAATTTTGTAATTATAAACGTAATTAAATCTTAAATAGGCTAATATTGCAATTATATGCAGTTTAGCTTTAAAATACTAAATAAATTTGTAAAAAAATGTACGAAATTTACCTTAGCTATATTTTGGTACAAACAAGAGAATCCAATAAATGTTTTACCAAAATGCCAATTTTGGAACACTTATTGGTTTTTTTTTTTGATAAAATAGGGCAATAAAATTGATTTAAAAATCTTTAAAAAAAATTGAGAAAAATAATAGTACCTTGGGGTATGCTTATATATGCCTATATATGTTGTTTTAAAAGGTATTTTACATATGAAAATATATAGGAAAAAATTGGGTATCAACAACTGGTGCATGTCGAAACTTTGGCACCTGACATTACTACTGGGGAACCAATTGAGGGACCTGATCCCTTCGCCCAAAAGGAGCCCTCTGGTTCTAATTGGGATAAGACCCCTGATAGTAGGCTATATAGTTGATATTTACACCTTAATATGACCATACTTCGTTGTTGTTTTATAGATAAATTGCCAACGAAAATGCTCTGAATAGTGTTCTTTTGTTTCGCAGGGAATATTATATGAGAGGAAGCAACATGGAGTGTTTTGGAGGCAATAATGTGAAGAAAACGCCCACTCGAGAAGTACCCGAGCACTAAGAAGCAGAAAATGGCCTGGGCAAGAAGTCAACCGCGATCGCGGTGGAACCGCGATGAACCGCGATAGATTAAACTCGTGAGGCAGAAAGGTTAGCTCTCACCACGGTCGACCACGGTTGGCCGCGACCGCGGTGCACTATTCACGCTTCTGGAAGTTTGAGGACCAAAGTGTAATTTCGGGAAAACTTTTGTAAACCCTTATAAGCTTTAGAAACTCGCCCAAGATTGTTTGGAGTTTTTCTAAAACTGCTTTTGGAGGCAAGAACAAGTGTGAGAAGATCAACCAAACATTAGAGTTTTTCTATCTCCTTTTAATTTTTGCAATTTTACATTATGAACAATTTAGTAATTCTCTCTTATTTTGTTATGAGTAGCTAAACACTTATCTAGGGTTGATGGAACCAATTGTTGGTTGATGTTTTGACTCAAGTTGTTATAATCAAGCCGGATTTATGATATGATTGTTCAACTACGTTTTGTATGGTGATTAATTAAATGGGCCCTCGATTAATCGTATCTAATTACCTTATATTGCTTGAGAAAGAGTATTAGGTTAGACAACTGTTGAACAACACCACTTTTGGATAATTGAAGAGATTCATTACTTGAACTTAAAAGTGGGTTTAGAGATAACGGAACTTTGGTGGGATAATTTAGAGTTGCACACATATTGTCATCTAGAGTAGTTCGAGAGAATACTCTAGTAAATTATTGTAGTTGATCGAGAAATAATTACAATAACTCATAACTCTTAATCATCATAGATTATTACGGTGAGATTATAGTGGAAGAGTCGAAACCTAAACTAGCAATTGGGGAAATCATTGCCCTAGACCTTTTTATCATTAAATTATCTTTGTTTTAGCTTACTGTTGTTTTTCATAGTATTTGAAGTAGTAAACAAAAACCCAATCTTAATTGAGCAAAAATCTTGCATCTAGAGATTGATTGAGTTGATAATAACATTGCCGAAGAGTGTAATAGATAGGTTAGTTCCCTGAGGATTCGATTCTGGACTTAAAACCAGATTATATTTGCAGCGACCGCTTTGTCTTTTAAAAGGCATAGTTGGGCGTTATCAAATTTTGGCGTCGTTGCCGGGGAACTAACGGTGTTATTTATTACAACTTAGAAGTAGTGTTAAAATTATTAGTTCAAATCAATTTCCAAAGGTGTTAAATAATTTTTATTGAAATTCTAACGTTTGAACTCTTGTGGAATTCAGGTGTATGCCTAGAGATTCTTCGAGGACTGGAGAACTGCTTGAAGGACTTTCAGACCCCTGAGAAAACATTCAGTGCATTGAACCGTGCCAACAAGAGGATCCAACAATCACAACAACCACACCAGCTTGAAATTGGCATAGGTGACATAGAGAACATCAACGGAAACATCAGGGATGAACCAGCTGACCCAAACATCAGAGTGGTGGCACCTCTTGTGCCAGAAGCTGCACTTTATGATTAGGCTCAACCCACAGTTGACAACTTGGTAACTGCCATAGCTGTGCCCGCAATTCAAGCGGAGACATTTCAAATCACCAACAACATGATGCATCTGCTGCAGAATAAAGGATTGTTCTCCGGGTCACACATTGAAGACCCTCAGCAACATTTGAAATTTTTTTTGTCAATTTGTGTGACTCAAAGGCAGCCAAATGTGACCCTAGAAGCTATCAAGCTATTATTGTTCCCGTTCTCTGTGACTGGGGAAGCTCAGACTTGGCTGAATTTGCTCCCAAAAAATTCCATTGTCACCTAGGAGGAATTAGTAAAGCTGTTCCTGAATAAGTTCTACCCTCCCAACAAGACTGCAAGGCAGATTGATGAAATATTGCAGTACAAGCAGCAGCCGACTGAGACCTTGCAAGAAACTTGGGAAAGATTTAAAGGGATGTTGGTGAAGTGTCCTCACCATGGCATTCCAGACCAGATGCTTGGCCAGAAGTTCTACATGGGGTTAGCTGACAATCTAAAGGCCAATGTGGATGCTTAAGCTAGAGGTGCATTTTTGAGTAAGACATTCACCGAGTACAAAGTCCTTCTTGACAAGATGTCCCAGAATTCGGGATGGATGACTAGAGGTACAACACCGACACCTATATTGCATTCAGTTCCTCTTGACCCAAATAATTCGCATGCAGAGAACATGGCCACACTCATGACTCAGATGAGTATTTTGACAAAGAAGATAGATGAGATGGGTACCAAACAGGTGCATATTGTTGACATGACAAATGGAGGATTGTGTATACCCTGTGTTAATCAGTCTTATGTGTGTTCATGGAGCGGAGAAGGTGAAAATCAAGGGGAAAGGGAAGATATGAATTATGTTAACAACTTTGGGGGTCAGACACAAGGAGGACAACAATGGAGACCAGCACCAAATCAGCAATACAGACCCAACATGCCTCAGCCTGGGGGCATGCAAGCTCAAGGCCAAATGGTGCCATACCACCAGAGACAACAGGGCTACCCACAATAGAACCAGCAACAGTTGACATATCAGCCACCTCCTCAGCAACAAGATAACAATATGGTAGAGATCAGTGCGATGCTCTAACAACTCATTGGGACAAATGGTAAGATGCAAGAAAAGTTGGCAGTACATGATTCAGCTATAAAGAACATTGAAACTCAGTTGGGGCAGTTGTCTATGGCTTTAAACAACCGCCCCCAGGGAACATTGCCAGCGGATACAAATATTAACCCCAAGGAGCAAAACATGAATCAGCTGATAACAGTAAGTCTCTGGAATGGGAGAGATTTAGACAAAGAGCAGGAGGTTGCGCAAGCCAGCAAAGAGACTACGCCAGCCACTCCAATTCCACTAGAGGTAGATGAACCAACAAATTTGACTAAAGTTGTGGTTGAATAGGGTCAAGATGAAAAGGGTAAGGCTAGGGTAAATGAACAAGCTGCAGAACAAGTGGTGCCTCTTGTGCCACAGAATCCCAATAGAAAGAAGCCAGCAAGCAGTGCACAAAGGGTGATACCTGCACTATTCCCTCAGAGACTAGTAAAACAAAAGAAGGAAGATCAATACAAGAAATTCATGGAGATGATGCGTCAAATTCAGTTGAATATTCCTTTAATGAAGGCCTTGAAGGAGATGACAGGTTATGCGAAGATGATGAAAGATTTAATGTCACAGAAGTTTGATTTTCAGGACCTATCCACAGTGACTCTAACGCAGACCTGCAACGCAGTAGTGACCAAACCGATGGCTCAAAAGATGTCAAACCCAGGTAGCTTTACTATTCCATGCACGATTGGGAGTTATGCCTTTGTAAAGGTATTATGTGATTTGGGAGCCAGCATAAATTTGATGCCTCTAGCTGTATACACTAAACGGGGCATTGGCAGAGCTAGACCGATTTCGATGATGCTGCAGCTGGCTGACCATACGGTAAAAAGGCCTACTAGAATTCTTGATGATGTGTTGGTGCAAGTGAGGAAGTTCATGTTCCCTGCAAACTTTGCTATTCTGGACTCTCAGGTAGATGAGGAGATACCTATCATTTTAGGTAGGCCATTTTTGGCCACTAGGAGAGCACTGATCGATTATGAGACTGGGGAATTAAAAATGAGACTGAACGATGAAGAAGTCATATTCAATGTTCAGCAATCTATGAGGAAACGCAGTGAATATGCTAATTGCTCTCTAGTGGAGGCAGTGGATGTGATCCTGCAAGAAGATGATGTGACCCTGAATGCTAAAGATCCATTGGAGACATGTCTGGCAAATTTAGAAGAGATGTATGGTGAAGGGTTAGTTGAGTGGGTCATGGCACTTGAAGGCCAAGTATTCTGGAAAAGGGAACCTCAGTTCGAGTCCCTTGAATTAGAAAAAAAGGCTACACCTCCGGCAAAGCCATCAGTAGAGGAACCACCCAAGCTGGAGATGAAGCCGCTCCCAGCTCACCTTAGGTACGTTTTCTTAGGCCCCGATTCTACTTTGCCTGTTATTATATCATCCGGTTTGCTAGATGTACAGGTAGAACAGCTCTTACAGGTACTGCAGGAAAGCAAGACTGCCATTGGTTGGACCATGGCAGACATAAAGGCTATCAGCCCAGCCTTCTGTATGCACAAGATTCTCTTGGAAGAAGGGCACAAACCTTCCAGAGAACATCAACTAAGGCTGAACCTAAACATGAAAGAGGTAGTAAAGAAGGAAGTGATCAAATGGTTAGATGCGGGAATCATTTTCCCCATCTCTGATAGCAATTGGGTCAGCCCTGTCCAATATGTGCCGAAAAAGGGGGGAATGACTGTTGTGCAAAATGAGAACAATGAGTTGATCTCAACTCGTACAGACAGGGGATGGTAGATTTGCATGGATTACCGAAAATTGAACACAACCACCCGGAAGGACCACTTCCCCTTGCCTTTCATTGACCAAATGTTGGACAGGCTAGCCGGGCGATCGCACTTCTGTTTCTTGGATGGATATTCGGGGTACAATCAGATATCAATAGCCCCCGAAGATAGAGATAAAACATCCTTCACTTGTCCGTATGGCATCTTTGCCTTTCTTAGAATGCCTTTTGGGTTTTGCAATGCACCGACGACATTCAACGGTGCATGTTAACCATTTTCACAGACATGGTGGAGGATATTATGGAGGTCTTTATGGATGATTTCTCTGTGGTGGGAGATTCATTCGAGGATTGTTTTCACAACTTAAGAAGAGTGCTCAAAAGATGTGTGGAGACAAATTTAGTGTTGAACTAGGAAAAGTGCCATTTTATGGTACAAGAAGGGATAGTCCTAGGACATCGAGTGTCCAGTAAAGGAATTGAGGTCGACCATGCTAAGGTCGACGTGATTGAAAAACTACCACCGCCCACTTCAGTCAAGGCGGTGAGATGTTTCCTTGGGCAAGCCGGGTTCTACAGGCGATTCATAAAAGATTTCTCCAAAATTGCTAACCCATTATGCAAACTCCTTGAAAAGGATCACCCCTTTGTGTTTTCTAATAATTGTAGGTTGGCATTTGAGGAGCTGAAGAAGAGATTGGTGACTACACCAATCATTGTTGCACCCAACTGGGAGCAACCATTTGAGCTCATGTGCGACGCAAGTGACTATGCCATAGGAGCAGTCTTGGGGCAGCGAAAGGGTAAATTGATGCACCCGATTTATTATGCAAGCAGAACGCTAAGCGGTGCACAACGCAATTACACTGTGATGGAAAAGGAGATGTTGGTTGTTGTTTTTGCATTCGACAAATTCAGGTCATACTTGATTGGCTCGAAAGTTATTGCTTACACTAACCATGCAGCAATTAGGTACCTAATAGAAAAGAAGGAGTCAGAGCCATGCTTGATTCGCTGGGTTCTTCTGTTATAAGAATTCGATCTTGAAATACGTGACCGAAAAGAGACAGAGAACTAAGTAGCTGACCACCTCTCAAGGTTGGAAGGAGCTAAAAAGAAGGTAGAAGTTGAGGATATAACAGAGACATTCTCGGATGAACAGTTACTGGCAATGACAATGGAGGAGGCACCTTGATATGCTGATATTGCTAATTATTTAGCAAGTGGTATTGTACCTTATGAACTCTCCTCAATTCAAAAGAAAAAGTTCTTTCATGATTGTCGATATTATTATTGGGATGAACCTCTATTATTAAAAATATGTGTAGATAACATAATCCGGCGGTGTATCCCCGAGAAAGATCAACATTTTGTTTTGCAGGCTTGCCATACTTCACCATATGGTGGACACTTTGGAGGAATTCGCACAGCAGCTAAGGTGTTGGAGTCAGGCTTTACTGGCCTACTCTATTCAAAGATGCCCATGCTTGGGTTAAAAGCTGCGATGATTGCCAAAGGACTGGCAACATATCTCGTAGACACGAGATGCCAATGACCACAATTCAAGTGGTAGAGATCTTTGACATGTGGGGGATTGACTTCATGGGACCATTCGTCAGCTCGTATGGTAACAAGTACATATTGGTAGCAGTTGACTATGTCTCCAAGTGG